CCAAAGCTTTGAATCTCAGAAGGGTCATGAGTTCCTTCAAGATTTCAGATATGCTTTGTAGAGTGGTGAGTGCCAACTAGCACGAAACCTAGGTCAATCAGGTGGGGCTTCCTGTGGCCGATCGCCTCCAACCGTCTAACACCATTAAATCAATGTGCACCGTGATGGCCATCTACCTATAATGGTGGCCACATTACATACCTAACTGACGGAATTCAGTCTGCACCAAAGATAGGACTAGACACATCACACTAGTTACCAGTGCCCAATCAAGGTATCAAACCGATTGTTTAAAAGTGAATAGCTTTTTGAGCTGATATTTGTAAATATCCATACAGTAGTCAGTTATATATCTAATTCATTCGTAAAACAATGAGTCATACTGTCTTGTATATTGATTGACCTTCTAACTGTCTATATACAGTGACATACAATGCATTAATGTGCAGTGAATTTGCAATTAGTAGTGTTCTCTGATCTGGTTAGTTTAGTTGCGAAGCTTTCTTCGTCCTTCTGGACAACATCCCCTTTCGGCGCAATTTTTAGCATAAACTGAACTTATTTAAATTTTCCATTAGTAATGGAATTGCGTCTCCTGGTAACCATCTTTACATATGTATTGATCATTTTTTATTGACTCGTATTTTGAACTTGCTCGTCACACGATTTATTTTTTATCAGTTGGTTAATCGCATATTCATTTGAGCACCAGGCTTCTAGGAATTCCCTGACTGCACTTTTAGTGTTTCCTCTATCTAACATTTTGACATTATCCCAATCAAACTGATGTCCATAATTATCTAAATGCATTGATATGAAATGGGAATATATATCATGTCTTTTCACAGCTAGTTTGTGTTCCTGGATTCTGATTCGAAGGGGACGCCCACTTAGTTGACCGCTGTAATGTCTGTTACAGTTCATGAATGCTATTTATTTTGTAAATGGTATTAATTTTATCCCCTTTTTCCGTTGGATCGATCTTTCGGTTTGCGCAATATCGAATTAAGTGATTTGACTGGCTTGTGTGCTATGTCTATTTCAAACGGTTTCAATATTCTGGCTGTTATTTCAGAGATATTTTTTTCTGATATATGTTAGGATGAATTTTCTTGTGGTCTTTTATGATGGTTTCTTGTTGGTGTTATGATTCGATTTTAAACACATTTTGATGAAATTGCGCGGATATCCATTCTTTTTGAAGACCATTAGTAGGTATTTATTTATAACTGTAGAGTCAGATGTGAAAGTTAATAGCATTGGCGGCTTGTTTGAATGTTGGGCTACCTATTCTTCCACCTATATATTGCATCTAATTTATCGTATTTCATTTTTATTTATCAAAATATGATTTCAAATTGTATCACATGCTGTCCAGGATTCATTAAACGTTTAAAAGCAAGTGACTTTCAAGGTCCTAAGAAAGCTAAGAAAAAGCATCATGGTGGATGGCAGCATGCTTTAAAACAGACACCTTTATATCGAACTACTGTTCCTATCATCGTTGATACAAACTGCCATTCTTTTCAGAATAAAGTTATGCATCTGCCATTTCTCCTGTCATCTGACACTTATCATAACACGGATATTATCACACGACAAGAAACACGGCTCCATGAGCTCTGTCGTGATAAACTGGTCTCACTAACTGGTTTCACACTATTCAGACAAGATCGACTTTGTACCAAAATGAAATGCGGAGGAGGAATTTCAACTTTTATTCATTCCCAGTGGTCGATTTCAAGCAAGAGTATGTTTCACATTCTCGAGTGACTTTATTAATTGTATTACTGTCAAATGTCGTCCCAGAAGCTTGTTAAAGTATAAATACATTTTCATCTCAAACATTTATGTTACGCCTGGTTGTGGTTTCTCGGATGTATCTGATTTTGTTGATGAATTCACTACATTTGCTGCCTCTTATCTTGAGAACTCTCTGTCAATAGTCACTGGGGACTTCAATTCCTGCGACTGTTCCTTCGTTGAATAGATTAATCACTGTAAATATTGTCAACTTTGTCACTCAACTTGATAAAACACTGGATTTATTGTCCACAAATGACGTTAGAATATATAAAACACGAAAACGTCGTACTACCAAGTATAGGAAATCAACAGTACCATATCTATGGCCCATGTTCTATGTGATAGAGACAATGTAAAGCGTGAAACTTATCAATTACTGTGTTGTTAGCTGAATAATCGGCTCTTTTATTATCTCCCATTTGTAATTTATGGAAACACTATCTGGATTAACTGACGATTTCAGCTACTAACCTTATTATTAGTATCACTATTTACAATCTTTTTAATTATATATATACCCAGAGACATCAGCTCACTTGATGATACCACTACTGAAAAAGGTGTCAAAAGAGGGCAAGGTACCGGCGAATTGGAAGAAAGGCTACTTATTCAAATTGCCAAAGAAAGAAGACTTAAGTCAATACAAGAACTAGTGCGGTATTACACTCCTGTCTGTCCGAGGCACAATAGTAAGCCGTATCATCTTGGAGGGAACTAAATGCACCCTGGAACACACCGGAACAGGGCGGATTCGGGGAAAACAAGTCATGCACCGATCGAATTGCAACACTACGGATTATTACTGAACAGAGCTTGGAATGGCAGTCACCTCTCTATCTCAACTTCATCGACATTGAAAAGGCCTTCGATAGCGCAGCGTCGATGGAGAGGTGATTTGGCAACTACTTCGCTACTGTGGGGTGCCACCAACAATTATATATCTCATCCAACATTTGTACGACAATGCTGCATCCCAAGTAATCCACAACGGGAAACTCACGGAAGCCTTCGAAGTGAGGACAGGAGTAAGACAAGGCTGCCTACTATCGCCAATGATTTTCCTGATTGCAGTAGACTGGATAATGTGACAAACAGTGGGAAATGAGGAAACAGGCATAAAATGGACTCACACAAAAACTTGGAGGATTGAGACATCGCCGATGATATATGTCCGATTTCCCAGAAACTGGAAAATATGCTAGTGAAAAGTAACAAGTTGTCAATAGACGAAACATCAAAGATAGGACTCCAGCTGAACATTCAGAAAACAGAGGTGATTCCTGGCCAACAGCAACAACAACATATAACAGACAACAATAGGCATAAATGGGAGAAATCTGAAAGAAGCAACCTCATTCACCTAACTACCTACCTACCTACCTACCTACCTGAGAAGCACCGTTTCAACTACAGGCGGACAGAACTGATGAGGATATCAAAGTGAGGGTCGGGAAAGTCATTCAAGCTTTCATTAATCTCAAGTCCATGTGAAGATCGACACTGAGCACTCAGCATGAAAAATAAGATCCGGATTTTCAACTCCACTGTGAAGTGAGTAGGTGTTACTATGCGGATCAGAGACTTGGCACCGCGTCACAAAGACCAATTCGAACAAACTACACACCTTCATCAACAGCTGTCTTAGCCCAATACTAATCAAGATTAGATGGTCGGCCAGAAAAGATCAGCAGCATGGAGGGACCTCTGGCAATGAACGAGCCAACCCAGCAGGAACCAATGGTGCAAGAAATCGGTAGGAAGAAATGGAGGTGGATTGGCTGGTCATACTCTGAGAAAACAAACCATCAAGGGAGTGAGTGACATCACACGCCAGGCCATTGATCCAGTGGAAACCTACCGAATGGTAAGTAGCGAGTTGGTCGTCAGTGAGAGGGCGACATGTAGGAGGAGGTGATGCGAAGAGGAGATGAAATCATGTGGGCAGACGTGGATTGAGGTTTTAACGTTGGTGGAGAACCGAACGCAATGGAGATGTGTGGCTGAAGCCCTATGTTCCTCCAGGAACTAAAGGGAACAATAATATATATATATATGTATATATGACTTCACTGTCACTACAAATACCAAATAAGATCTGTTATTAACGATCCTGTATTATTATCTTTATAATTGTTTTTAAAATTATTCAATAAAATTAGATACAATATTGTACCAGTTTGTGAAAATTCCACACTGTAATACTAGTACTGTTTTCGAATAAAGCAAATCATTATTATAACTATCATTATTATTATTGATACCGTAAATGTCAGTATTCTTTGCCCACCCTTTCTTCTCTTTTTAATCTTCTAAATGTCCAAGTAGACATTTTCATCTTATAGATCTTCAATCTGTGTATTTTATTTTATTGGTTGTAGGATTTCATCATGAGCTGACATCAGTTAGAGAACCACTGCAGAATTAGGGAGTACTGATTCTCTAATTGATGTCAGTTCATGATGAAATCCTCCAACCAATCAATCAAACAAAATCCCTACAAAAAACAAATACTTGAAAATTGATCTGACGCTCACTAGCAACTTGCCCTATCCAAGCAGTCACCTGGAGTTCTAGTGGGAAGCCATGACCAGTAGGGTACAGCACGTTGAGGGAGAGGCGGTAACTCATCGAAGAATTTCGAAGTGATCACCCTATATCATGAATTGGTAGAAGTTAGAATTCATGCACTGGCCATTGGATCGGGTCCCAGTGAGTGGCTTAATGGTCTACGAGCTCACTAGTCTTGTAACCAGAAGGTCATAGGTTCAAAACCCTTGGTGTGAGTGCTTACCGCTGAAGCGGAACCCCAAACCAGGCTGACAAAACAGCTGTCCAGTACTCCCTGACTGGTTTTCCATTGGTTCTATAACATATGTCAGCTCATGATGGAATCCTTCAACCAATCAAACAAACAAATATTCCTTACAAAAAACCAATATTCGAATATTTTATTTTATTCAAAACTTTAGAAACACTTTAGTTTCCCACACACACAAACACACATATACTATACGTAAATTTGTATTTACAATGATACTTTGAGGAAAGAGCAATAAATACAGTTGTTTTGCACGCACTTGCACTGTAGCTTCACAAAAACAAAATTAGTAAATAGAAATGCAGAGAGACGGAAATTCAACGAAATACGACTACAATTTACATCGTCACTTTTTCTTGTCGTTTTGACTTGTGTGTTACTTTGCTTTATTATCTTTTGCATACATTTGTTTGGTTCTTTTCAAGTCAATTTCTTCCATTTCACGAATCAACTTTGATGTTGAAAAACATATGAATTAAAACAAAAAAATAGAAAAAAAGAAAAGTTTGATTACAGTAATGTTTAATTTAACTTTGTGGGATGATAGAATACTTCACTCAAAAATAAAAATTGAATAAAGAAACATTTAGCGAAACAACCAACAACAGATTAAGCGAAGAACTATGCATTGTGTTTTCCAGTGGTTCTCTAACCGATGTCAGCTCATGATGAAATCCTGTTGTAACGACAGAAGACAAGGGCCAGGCAACCGATTGTTTATTCAGAAAATCAACAGATATTTATAGATTTTTATGTACATTATTATTAGCATTATTGTTAGCAGAGAAGCAACCTATTCTGATTGGTTGTTTTCTTGCTGAAGGTTATTCTGTTATCTCTTTTTGGCCGTTTCTTAGAAAGTCAAGCCATATATCTGTGAATCGTATTTGCACACGCAAAGTCTACTGTGATCGGTTGTTGAGTTCCTCAAGGTTAAGCTTTGTTATTGTGTTTTTTCTCATGATCAAGATTTCGGACGTAAACATTGACGTAAGTTGCTGTCTACTAATTTTGACTAGCAGACAGCTCCCACCACAATGTAGCCAATCAAATGAAATCCCTACTAACCAATACTTGAATATTACTTTTCGATTAGTTCTTCCTCATCCACTGGCTGTACACTAATATACAGTTTCTTTACATCAAAATTTCACTAAACATGATTTGGTTAGATGTCCAGTTCACCGAGCTAGAGTTCCGTATTCAAATGAGACACTGAACGAAGAAGTCGGTAATGTTCATGATCTACTGAGGAGAAAAGGATATCCGATTAAATTGTTGAACAAACACATGAACTCAACAAGTAAAAGGTTGAAGGTGCCCACAGTTCCCAAAAAAATCCATCTTCCTACGATTGTAATTCACGAGTGATGTCAGTAGTTCAATCTCATCACAACATCTGAGAAGGGACTTCAAAAGGACATTCAACGCATATAAGCTAGGCTGCATATTCACTAGCCAACCAATACTCAGTTCAAGAAATAAACACAAACTACCCTGCTTCGTCTTTTCTATGTGTATTTACCATTTTACCTGCTCGTGTGGAGCTAATTACACAGGGGCTTACGATCAGTGGGCTTATGATCACACAAGTTCATCATCGAATTTCTGAACACCTCCCATCTTGGTTTGACAAAGAATACTAGCTCATCTCGTCGATACTGAACATCAAATTGACTCTAACAAAACATTTAAAGTTATTTATCGTATATCACCCAAACCTTTCGCCGCATGGTCTACGCGTACGACTTTCGCATACAACATAAGATTCAATCGGAATTCATCTGGACAAGTCAAACCTGTGTATTTTCAGAAAGAAATTGTGGAGCCCCTTTTCTTTACCATTGCCAACTACTTAATGTGTATTAAGTTTTTAAAAAGGATTTTCTCTCCTCCCTTTCAAACCATCTTTTGACTTTGTTATTTTATTATGTTTTTAGAATTCTAGGTAATTCCATTAATTTGATTGCATTTCACTTAGTTCTTCTGAGTCATCCTATTCTTCTTCGACACCATTATTTCAGGAATTTCTTGATTATTTAATAGCTTGTCGTTCATCCCTATGAATGAACTTGTCTTGAATTCCGATACCTTGTTACTAACATCTATTAGTTAATTGTTTTGATGAGCTTTAAATTCTTAATTTCACCCCTATACCTAAAAATTATTAACCAAAATAACCAATTGATTGGTGAAATTTTGATGTAAAGAATTTCTGTATATTAGTGTAAAGCCAACGGCTGATGAGGAACTAACTGAAAATTATTATTATAATCTCCTTGAGTTCCGAGTGGAACATAGGGCTTCAACAACACATCACCACTTTTTTCTATTTTCTGCCATCCTCTTCAGACTGGACCACGACTGCTCACAATCTTTCATCTCCTCCCCCCATATAATCTCCTTCATGTTACCCTCGCAACGACGACCCACTCGTCACTTCCCACCTGGATTCCACCCGAGTGCGTGGCGCGTGATTTCGTTCGACGGTCTCCTCAGTGGTGTGTGCCCAAACCATCTCCATTTTCTCCTACATATTTGTTGAGCGATTGACTCTTGGTCGGTTTGCTCCCAGTCAGAGTTTCTTGTTACTAATTCTTTCTGGCCATTTGATCTTCATTATGGAGCTAACCAGCGAAGTCGACAGCTGTTGACAAATGTCTGAAGTAGTTTGTTGGAAATGCTTTTCGTGACACACTGGCCAAGTTTCTGACCCATATAGAAGCACTGAGTGACTTCACATTCGTGTTTTGAAAATGCGAATCTTGTTTTTTATGCTGACTGAGTCAGTGCAGAAGATTTCCAAACTGATGTCATAGTGATGAAGGCGTATCTTGACTTTCCTATTCTGACTTTCACATCTTCATCAGTTTGGACTGCCTGTAGTTGGAACGATGATTCCTAGATAAGTGGAGGAGGTGACTTCTGTTGAATCTCTCCCATTGATGGTGATTGGTACCGGCTGTTGTTGATGTTGATTGGTTATCTTCATCACCTCCGTATTCTCTGTGTTCACCTGCAGTCCTGTTTTCGCCGAATCTTCGGCCAGTTTGTCGGTTTTCTCCTGCGTTTAAGTCTTCGAGTTTGTGTGACATTAGACATATATCATCCACACGCGAAATTCAGATCTTTTAGAGTCTTCTTGTCAATAGTCCAGCGTATTTTTGACTCCTTGCTCTCCACACACAGCTCTAGGCCTAATCCATTCGCCCGTAATTAAGAATATAATCGGTGGTAACAGACAGCCTTGTCTTTCTCCTGTCTTCACTTCGAACACCTCACTGAGTTTTCCGTTGTGGATCACCTGACTCATGCCACTTCCATGTAGCTAGCTGTTGAATGAAGTTGGTAAATATTTGAGCACTGTACGCCGTAGTGTTGAAGTAGTTTCTAAATCACTTCTCGGTCAGCGGTGTCGAAGGCCTTTTCGAATTCCTAATTAAAAAGGAATGTTGGTTTTTTTCCAAGTGAGTTTATGGGAATTTGGAAATTAAAGAAACCTTTGTTCATTGTGAAAAACTCAGTTTTATTCTTCGATTTTCAGGCTTTATGCATTGAATTGAATGACTTTAAGCCGATATTCTTCATAGGCAGACACCAGCCATTTGGAGTATTATCGTAAACCAAGCTTGCTTTCGAACACCTGAGGCTCAACACTTCGCGTTGAGAAAGAAGCAGTTGTCAATCTGTCATGGTTGTCCTGATAACCTTATGTCATTACCATATTGTCTCTTATTTGATTACATAATACTTGAATTTAACCTCTTGGAGTGCTCGGTACCTATAGGCTTTAAATAATTTATTTGATACCCGATAGATGGTAGAAACAGTTTCTTCAATGTTAACTTTGTAGCCTGTTTGGTCAGGGTGGGCTAAAATGGAACAATGAATTGTTTTTACTACACTTTTATTTAGCCACATACTGGTAGGTGTGCCTGATGACGAAAAACTAAGTTCCTAGAGCGACGGACAGTATAAGTCAGAGAATAGCTAAACTCAATGACCAATCTCTTGAAGGAGACAAGGCTAATGGCGGTCTGTAGATTCATTCACTCCTGAAGAATGGTAACTTCAATAAATCACTTAATTCAACCTTTGAATAACCAAGAAGATTCACTATAATGTTAGCTGGTAGTTAAAAAGAGTGATGCTTCATCGCTGACATCAACATATGTACATATGAACAACCAAAGACATTAAGGTGATCTATGGAATAGCCTCAGAAAATATAGAACAATTTTTAAACCGCGGGTATTCATTGAAATGACTTTCGAGAGATATTTCTGCTGATCATCAAGAAGTATTCGACTTAGTAGTCAAAAAAGTCAGTATGTGATGAATAAATTATAATCATCTACAATCCATTAGTGTTTAAAATTGACGAATAATTTGTACAACCTGAGAATATTTCACTTGAATATAGCACTTAAGTAGTAATAAGTTATCTAGCATGATAATCAGACGTCCACAATCGAATCTAATAATCTGTCATCAAACAATTATTCTATGCAATTAGAATCACTAGCATACTTTATTATATTCAGGAGTATTGTGTGAGTATTATAAGGTCTATCCACAACAGATTTACTGACATAACGTGAATGCTTCCACAATTCATGATGACGATTAATCATGTTTGATTGTTGACGTTTTTGTGTCAAAGCAGGTAACTTCATCAAGAAATAATTTATAAAGACAACTCAGGTATTCTTAAGTTTCCCCAAAATTTGATCTAATATCTATTTTTGTTTAAATCAGATATGATCCGGCAGATGCTATATGTCTAATGACGCACAAACTCGAAGACGTACAAGCGAAAACCAACAAACTGGCTGAAGAGGCTGGCAGTGAAGACAGGACTCCAGGTGAACACAGAGAAGATAGGGATGATGAAGATAGTCAACGAACAGCAACAACGACAACCAGCACCAATCACCATCAAGAGGAGAGATTTGAAAGAGGTTACTTCCTGGCTTCACTTATCTAGGAATCACGGTTTCAGTCACAGGCAAAACGGATGAAGATAACAAAGTCAGCCACACAGAAACGGACAGGCAAGATACGCCTTCATCAACCTGAAACCAGTTCGGAAATCTTTTGCACCAGCTCAGCACAAGGAACAAGATTCTGTTCAACACAAGTGTGAAGTCAGTCAGAAATTCGCAATGTGTGTCACGAAAAGGATTCCCTACAGGTTGCAGATTTTTATCAATAGCCACCCCCTTCACTGACTCCATACTGCAGATGAAATGGCCAACTGGCCGACCAGAAAGAATCGGCAACAAGAAACTCTGCAGTGGAACAAACGAAACAGGAGCCGATTGCTCAACAAATATGTAGGAGAAACTGGAGATGGTTGGATCGGGCATACGTTCAGAAGACCGTCGAATGACACCACGTGCGATGCAGGCCATCGCTCAAGTGGAATTCAAATGGGAAGCGACGAGTTTGTCGTCGGTGCGAGGAAGACATGGAGGAGATCGTGTGGTAATGAGGAGGAGATGAGAGATTATGGTCAATGATGGACCCAATTGAAGAGGACGATAGAGTATAGAAGAAAGTGGCGACGTGTTGTTGAAGTCCTGTGTTTCACTGGGAACCCAAGGGAACAATAATACTAATAATAATACTTAAGTAAGGTAAGATAACAGCTGCATTTTTTCCTCAATATCCAGGGGGCATTAGAGGTAGACTATCTCTTTCAAAAGAGGAAAAAAATAAAAAATAAAACTGACTATACTTCGACTTACTTGTGATATTTCTGTTTCAATAGTAGCTCGATATTCTTTCACTCTCCCGAGATTTTCCATTTGTGCTAAGAATTCACGTCTTTCATTGACTTCATCCATTACTGATTAGTATACAGAGGTAAAAAAAATCAAAATAATGAAAGTCACTTTATTTCTCAAAATTTGTTTGATTAAAAAAGTGAAGAGAAATTCTCATATGTAAAATCTCAGCGAAATTGAAATGAGTAATTCCAAAGTTTCCTGGATTCGGCAAAACTAGCCGAACTTCTTCAGAGAAAGTAATCGAAATTAACATAACAGAGGTTTATATATATTAAAAGGGGGACACCTCTTGTTTTTAAAAACTTTGTCTAATCATATGAGTCATGAAACGGTCATCAAAATATAATAAACAAACAAAATTGCATGAACTGTGATCAAAATTTCACTTCAGACTTACAAATATTAGTCTACTTTTGTTAAACACTTTATATATTTTGATGATTAATAAAATTCGAATCATTCTACTGAAGAAGCTGTGGCTTACACAGCGAAATGTTCAGAAAACAGATCTTGTCATGATTTTTTCTTAAACACTCTGGGATTATTTTAAATAATTTATAATGATTCAGTTTGACTCGGCGTTCAAGTTATTCCAGAAAATTCGTAACATCTACAGTCTGGAAACTTATAACTTTAAACAGAGTGTACTTTTTATCAGAGCTTTAGTGATTACGCTCGACTAAAAGTTCATGGTGGTATTATTAATATTATTATTGTATCCTTTAATTCCTACAGGAACATAGGGCTTCAGCCGTGCGTCTCCATTGCGTTCTGTTCTCTGCTAGAGTCTTCACCTGGCTGTACGTCTGCCCACATGCTTCCATCTCCTCTTCGCATCACCTCCTATTCCATATCACCTTCGCACTGACGACCAACTCGCCGCTTCCCTTTCGGGTTCCACTCAAGGGCTTATCTAGTGATGTCACTTGATGGTTTCCTCAGAGTATGGCCAATCCATCTCCATTTCTTCCTGCCTATTTGTTTCACAATCGGTTCCTGGTTGGTTCGTTCATTGCCAGAGATCTCTGTTGCTGATCTTTTCTGGCCATCTGATTTGAGTATTGAGCGAAGACAACTGTTGATGAAGGTCTGTAGTTTGTTTGAGATGCTCTTTATGACGCGCCAAGTCTCTGATCCATCCGTATAGTAGCACTGACTTCACATTGGAGTTGAAAGTCCGGATCTTATTTTCGATGCTGAGTGTTGTTGACCTCCACACAGACTTGAGAGTAGTGAAAGCTTGTCTTGCTTTTCCGATTCTTGCTTTGATATCCTCGTCAGTTCCGCCTGTAGTTGAAACGAAGCTTCCCAGGTAGGTAGGTAAAAGAGGTTGTTTCTTTCAGGTTCCTTCCATTTATGCTGGCTGATTGTTGTCAGTTGTTGTTGTTGCTGTTGGTAGTGTTGGCCAGGAATTTTCATCACCTCTGTTTTATCTATGTTCACCTGAAGGAAGTCCTATCTTTGATGCTTCTTCTGCTAACTTGTTGCTTTTTGCTTGCATGTCTTCCAGTTTGTGGACCGGGCCTTCATGGTGGTAAATAACTGAATATGAAAATATGTATGAGTACTTTCGGTATAAAATAGTTTGTCTGCGACAACAGTTGTAAAACATTTGTTAGCGTCTCGATAAGAAGATATAGAAAATCGGAAACTTAGGATTTAATTGGTGGATGGTGACTAGCAGTGACAGAATCCAGGATAATTCGCATTTCGTCCCATTTGGGACTCGTCACCTGTTTGTACCTGTATTACCCAGTGAGCAATGATTTTCGCACCGAGGCTCGGACCCAGTGCTCATAGTTTCAAACGCCGAAGCGTTATCCACTAGACCACTTGGGCCACGAGAGCCACCTCTTGTGCAACGGGTCATATTCATTATTTAACTGAATTTTAGATTTCCCCGCTGATTGACTGGACCGAAGTGCTCGGTCTGAGGTTGACATGTCGGCTTCTTGGGCAGATGCTTCAAAGATGTCTGGGCATGGATAGCCCTTTGGCGTTTGAAACTATGGGCACTGGGTTCGAGCCTCGGTGGGAACACAATCATCACTCACTGGGAATGCAGGTACATCCAGCTGACGAGTTCCAAATAGGATGAAATGCGCATTATCCTGGACTCCACCACCGCTAGTCACCATCCACCAATTAACTTCTGGTTGCATGACCAGACATCGTCGAAGCATCTGCACAAGAAGCCGACACGTCAACCTGAGACCGAGCACTTCCGTCCAGTCAACTGACGGGAAAATCTAAAATTCAATTAAATAAATCGGAAAATTAGATTGAGTATGATTAATTAGTGATACACATCCATTTTTATCTATTAAACAGGATTTGCCATGCATCAGCTCACAAGTTCACACCTTCACGTCTGTTCAAACTGTTAGTACTTAGAATTTTATAATTGGATATATTTTCAAAATCATGGTGTTTAGGATTAGAGTTTAGTTGAAACAGCTTGTCGAAATTATTGATTTGTCTTCTTTTTGAATATTGAAGATAAAATCCTTCTTTAAACTTAAATATTATGGTTAATGAGAGTCTTCAATTCCGGTGTAACCAAAACAGATAAGATCCCATCAATATTGGAAATTTGCATTCGAAATAATTCCAAATTTTTGGTTGCTCTATGAACGCTTTCTCGTACAAATGTTGTAGTTACGGAATGAGTTGCTTTAATCGACCTACTGGAGTTCTTACGTGACTTGACAGCTAAGGCTTTAGGATATACATTCCGTCGCATACAATGGAGATTGAAAACACGATGACTGTAAAAATCACATAGTTTCTTCTGCGCCTAATTATTTTGGAACTATTCTGTCAAATCTTGATCATAGTTTATATGAATTATTTTGCAATCGAATTAAATAAACAAAGAAACTATGTAATTAGTGCAATCGTCGATTTTTCCAATCTCCGTTGTTCGGTGGGGTGAGTATTCATGAAAAACGAAACTTAAAAGTTCTTAAGTATCTACAGACAGCTCAGAAGTATATTGAGGTAATATTTCATTACTTCAGATTTGATAAGTTTCAAGACTGCATCATGAGCTGATATCAGTCAGAGAACCATTGGAAAAGCTGGGACTACCGCTTGACAGTTGTTTCGTCGTGGTTTGGGACGCTTCGTCAGTACGCACCCACCTAGGTCGGGTATGAAGAGAAGACATTGGCTAGCGGTTGCGCTGTGTTGTGAATTGGTAGAAGTTGGAATTCATGCACTTGCCACTAGATCAGTTCCCAGTGGTGTAACGGTCTATTAGCTCATTAGCTTTGTAACCAGAAGGTCCTGGGTTCAAATCCTATGGTGTGGGTCAATAATGCTGCAGAGTTTCAAGCCGGGACGAGACAGCAATCCAGTACTCCCTGCTACTTTCCAATCGCTCTCCAACTGATGTCAGCTCATGATGAAATCTTGTGACCGGTCAAATCCCTACGAACCAACACCTCAATATCACCTCTGATGTGCTTATTTAAAGCATTGCTTTGTAGGGATTTCGTATGATTGATTGGTTGGAGGATTTCATCATGAACTGACATTAGTTACAGAACTATTGGTAAACCAGTCTGGGAGTACTGGACAGCTGTTTCGTCAGCCTAGTTTGGGGCTCCGCTTCAGCAGCATGTATCTACAGCACGGAGTTCAAACCCACGACCTTCTGGTCACAAGGTTAGCGAGCTTGTAGACTATTAAGCCACTGGAACCCGATCCAATGGCCAGTGTTTGAATTCTAACTTTGCTAATTCCCCACCACTTGGCAATGTCTTCTTCGATAAGTAACTGTTGTCACCTTCGACATGATGTACCCTACTAGTCACGGCTTCTCACTAGAATTCATGGGCCATTGCATCGCGTCCTAGTGGCTGGTGAATGGTCTACGAGCTCGCCTTGTGACCCGAAGGTCCTTGGTTCGAACCCCATGATGTGCATGCGTGCTGGTGAAGAGGCCAAACTAAGCTGACGAAATAGCTGCCCATTACTCCATGATTGGTTTTCCAGTGGTTCTCCAACTGGTGTCAGCTCATGATGAAATCCTCCAACCAATCAGTCAAACAAAATCCCTACAAAACCGATACTTGAAAATATAGAGAAATAGCAAATAATTCTGCATCAAATGATCGCTTCAAGCAATAAACGTATAACTTACATTCTTCAAATCTATCCTTACAGTTTTCAGATTGGTTATCATGGCCATCATCATCATCATCCCCAGTGACTTTCGGATACTTCAATATACGTCGACTTAAATATTCTAATCTCCCATCTTTAATTTGATCATTTTTTAATGATTTCACTGTTGGTTCTTCACCATACGTCATTAAGTGGGCTAAACGTAATTTTTCAGAAGGACCTGTATTCAGCCCGACTAGGAAGGAAAACGTATAGAAAGAAAATCAATATAACTCAACTACATACATTACAGTCGTTTAAATGCAAGTGATAAGCTTTACAACATTGATACAATTGAAAATTCTTTGGTAACTATGGAAACCTTGAAAGGTCTTGTAGCAAAAAGAAAAATTATTAATGGCGCGTAAAATATGGAGATTATATATAAATATATATATCACATTGTCACTTATCCCCCAAAGCACTATATTTCAGTTTTATTGCTCTTGTGGTGCTGAGTAAATCAACTGTATCATCATATGTTTGTTAATAAAATTCGTTTCTGAACACTATTCAGTCTGGCTTACAAAGGGAGAATATAGGTGTGTCTTTGGTTCAATGTCAGAAGACCTTGTGGAATCAAGTTACTCAGTTTCATTTGAAAAATCTTTCAAAATCTTATACAATATCTAATCAAGTTTCTCAAAAGGAGTGACATCAAGATATTTTGGCACAGTAGAAGCATTAATGATGCAAAGACTGAAGAAAACGCTATTTATCTGAAAGAAGTACATTCATCAGCAAGGCATATTAGCAACCTCGAAGGAACTCATATCCCTTCTGAGATTCGAACCCGCGGCGTCACCTAGTGCTGCAGTCAGAGACGTTACCACTGAGCTATTCGGGCTCACGATTGACCTCCTGTAGGACTGTATTGGATATTTTTTATTGGACACTAGTCAGTCACTAGTGAAATGTGTTTAGTCCTTTCTTTGCTGCAGACTGAAATCTCTCAGTCAAACTTGCAATGTGGCCACCATGCGAGGGGGCTCTCCCTCACAGTGCACTGTGAATTGTTGGTATTAGATGATTGGAGGCAATCGGCAGGAAGCCTTGGAACTAGGTTTCGTGCTAGTTGGCACTCATCAGCACCGCAGATAGGACTAGACACATTACACCAGTTACTAACTAGTGTCCAATAGAAAATATCCAGTCCTTCAGGAGGACAATCGCGAGCCTGAATAGCTCAGTGGTGACGTCTCTGACTGCAGTACTGGGTGACGCGGGTTCGAATCTCAGAAGGGACATGAGTTCCTTCAAGATTGCAGATATGCCTTGCTGATGAGTGCCAACTAGCCCAAAACCTAGGTCTAAGGCTGGGCTTCCCGTCAATAGACACATTACTGACTAGTGTTCAATCAAAGAAAGAAGTACATTCAATTTGTGTTTCTGCTACGGTAAACATACCAACTGTGTTTTTTCAGTAAAACCCTTATTACTTAATTGTGTTTATTATCTAAATTTTCGGTTTGTGTTCTTAATTAAACCCTTGTTCGTTTTATTTAACTTCATCACTTTAATTCACCACATTTTGACCTTTTCACTAATTTATGTTTCATTGGTGCTGGCAGTTGTAATGGGTCGAGTTCCATTTTACATCTGCTGATGGTGACACATATGAATACGGATTCGTTCCTAAACTTTTTGTATCATTTATTCATATTAGATTTTAAATAATAAAGCATTTCACCAATAAGTATGAGGTTTATTATTTTATAAATGTGCCTAGGTGCGTTGGTGGCACAGCGGTTAGGACTCTCACCGATCATGCACATGGTCCGGCGTTCGATTCCCGGTCGACGCACACCCGATATCTATGGTCGGCCTGCAAAATTTGGGCTGCCGATATCACATGCTGAAAATTCCATACCTGTGCCAAAAAATATGGTGTGCAATCAAGCTATAATAAAAAACTCTTTTCTGAATTTTTGCACCTTTGTGTTCTTGTGGGCTGACTTTAAGATGATCATCGAATGTCCACTCAGCTTGGCTCGCACTTCTGACCCACTGACTCAGAAGCAGAGAAGTACACACTTAAAAGCTGAGATTCGAATTGCAACGACTAAGCAAAGTTTACAACAGTTCACCGCAGTAACTCAGTAAAAACACCAATAATCGGTGTGAAAGAAAACAAGCCGAACATAGAAATCTAGTATACTTCTTCCGATGCACCTACCAAGTGTTTTTAAAGTCTTTTAAGTAGAACCCTAGGAATCACTTTATGTGCCTGTACATTCTCTCTTAAATGTGCTGAAAAGTGCAATAATTTGTAGAAAATACTGCTCATACTTATAAGAATTTAACGAAATCAAATTATTTCTTAACATTCCGAAATCGATATGTAAATGGATTAGGTTGTTGCCTCATGGGGTGAAATAAATAGTGTGTATCTTAATCTCTGTCGGGACTTTTAATTATTTGAATATTTGATCTGAAGCAAGTATTTCAGTTTAGTCACCAACAGTTTTGATCAAGTTTTAAGACACTTTTTAACATTTTTATTTGAAATTTGAAACTGCTGCAGTTATAGTTTTTAAAAACGTAAAGAAAAACATAGAAGGCTAATATTAACCCTACTGGAGCAGTGCATGAACTTTCTCAAGCAGCATTAGTCTTCTAATGCAGTGACAAGAGCTATCATATAATAATTATACGAATTGAAGAGAACGACTCAGGAATGTCAAAACACAACCATTTATTTCACGGTTAACTCCATCATAAATCAAAATCAGTTAGAGGACCATAAAGTGGAGGTCAGTAGACAGCTTTCACGTGTCACCTTAGAGCTCTTCAGAAAAGAGTCAAAATTTGTGGACTCCTAGGTTCTGGCTGGTCAGGTGGTGAGAGTTGTGGTTCCATAACCTGAAATCAAAACTGGGCAGCTATTTCGTTGCATCTCAGGACTCAGCAGTTGTAAACATTCACAGATCTACTGAAGGACTACACAGATAAAACAGCAATGTGGTTCACTTGTAAATCGCATGTTCTGAGTTCGAACTGCTGTAGAGCGCTGACTATGTAGAGTCAATTAACTAGAGCGTACCAGAAGTCATTGGTTTCCTAGAATGAAATGGTTCTGTAAGTGATGTTCATTTGTGCTGAAAACATGCCTAGAAATCAAACAAATCTGCATGATCTCATTAAGAATATAAGTTAAACGGACTACTGGAATGTTTGTGTCATTGCTACACACTAGCTGTTAGATTGTGCTTTAAAATATAATGAAAAGCGAAGTTTAATTACATAAATAAATATGCATTCCTACTGCAAGAATCTCACTTAAAATGCATTCATCACTGCTTTTTATGAATAACTTTGGACTGAGAAAGTTGGCATCAAATCTGACAGATCAATTTAATGAAAATTTGTTGAAAAGATAAGTAACATATATATGTCTTCGTGACTATCTTTAAAACGAGATTAGTCGTGACTATACTGATGCATGATACATTCTTATTCAAAGTTTTCAATAAACATACTAAGCAACCTCCACTTTCTAAAGTAGTCCGATTATTAACTTACCAGGAGGCGGACGGTAACGTTCGGGTTCATAAGCTCCACTGAGTTCTATTAACGATTTTGATCGTTTTTGCGGCCTTGGTAGCCTGAAGTAGAAAATTATCAGTTAGTTTTATTTGAAGAAAGCAAAAGATCAAGCGTAATCTGTCATAAAAAGTACATCATATATTACTTTTTACCATATATTTATATTTAAACGAAAGAATGTATAGATATATGTTAACATAGTCTCACCTGCTTAACTTCTTGGCCTTATTTTCTTGACCTGCCTTTTTAAGGTTTTTGTGCACTTTAGTGACATTGTCACCCAAACTTTCACCGTCTGAAATGCAAACATAAGAATTTCCTGATAGAAATAAATATTGACAATTACTTTTAATTGCTGCTTTTATAGACTGTCGATAAGAATTCGCTAACTGAGATTCTTTCACAAGTTCTAAGAAAAAATAATATTTTACACATTTCGGCTACCATTCAGAAACCTTTTAGTTTCATCACTGTATGTAACTTTCGTAACATTCCAAAACCCTCCTTGAGACATGTTTCTATCAGATATAACCTTGAGGGATATAAAGACTTAACTAAACAAAACTACCGAATATTCCAGTCATAAGATTTCCAGGCTGAATAAATTTCTGTGCAACAACTAGTAAGTAAAATGCAGTCATTTCTGACCTTTGATGGATTTTCATTTCGTTAGTGACCCAGGGTGTCTCCGATGAGTAACGTCAGAAGTGGACCTCGCAACTGTCTAACTCGTTGAAGTAGTTCATGCTGTCTTTCAGTGTCCAATATCCACAAGCTTTCACAAGCTTCTTATTTCTTCTATAAACATTCTTAATATCTAGTCAGCTTTTATATAGTTTGTTCCTCCACTAACCTGTCCTAACTCAGTTGAGTCTATGGAAGTGTTGAGGTGATTGGTTTGTAGTATGCTGTGCGTCAGCATCGCGCAGCTGCTGTGAATGGAGTTAATTCTTTCACCAGCTTGCTGATAGGTGTGGTCAAAAAAAGAGATAACGTGCATAGTGGAATAATATAGACTTAGACATAAAAAGTTAAAAATAAATGGATATATGTATACGTATGCAATAACCACTAAAGAGTGTATGAATAGGCAGAGTAATCAAAGGAGTAATACAAGGAACGTGTAGCAGGAGTGGAGCATAGGTTTAGATTATACGCAGCAATAGGGTAGAGAATGTGAGTTTCAAGGTAATAGTTCATTTGGACACAGTCAGTGTGTCGTAGTATAACTCTGCAGACTCCTCTTAAAGCCTTTCACTGATGTCTTCCGGGGACAGGAAATTCGAAGGGAGAAGTGTCGGAAGGGTACTCAAGTCTTTCCTCCCTGATATATGTATGTTTTATGCAGGACAAGAACAGGCTCATGAGAGTGAGAGAGTCTGTACACTAAGTGTATTACCACGTGTGGTCTAGCCGCATCACCCCTATAGTCCAGGCTTGTACTCTGTTTTTCTGTTAGAGGGAGACGTAGGTCCCTATCTGATGTTACACAAAGAAGGTCGAAAAAGAAGCGAATTACTCTCTGAGTCATCCGGGCACTTATCAGTACCAATTTGCACTTTTCTGAGGTTGAAATGCATGCCACTAATCTGTGTCCAGTCTCTCATCTACTATGTTTGTCAGTAACCTGTCATAGGATTCCGAAAATTTTGTCGCTCTCCGAATCTCTATGTCATTAGATTAAAGGACCGTCTACCACTGCGGTATTTCTCGTAAACATTTGCAGTATTACATAAAACTTTCGTTAAGCAACGCAGGACCCATGGTTAATGGATGGAGCTACAGTGATTTAGTCACGGAACATATTCCATGGGTTCAAAAAGGCGCCAAGCAGTACCTTGTTGTTTTCTGCCCCACGGGAGGGAGGATGATAGATACTATCTTATAAATGCATGGTGTGGCACACAGGGAAGTGGCACCATATCGAGTCTGGGTGTTCACCAAGTGGTTGTCTGTCGCCCACACGAATCCAAGCTGCTTGTTGAAATTTAAGGCAGCTCCGCGTCCCCCTTGTGGTCCCCGTCCTGCCTCTCCAGGACCATATCACTCGTACAGACTCCAATGTCGACAGCAGTAAGGATTAACCGTGTCTCAGCCAGTTTTATTATTTCGAAATTCACGAGGGTTTAGAGGTTTCTGAGTTCCTCTGTGCGTCGGTGGCACAGTGGTTAGGACTCTCGCCGATCATGCACATGGTCCGGGGTTCGATCCCCTGCCGGCGCACACCCGATATCTATGGTCGGCCTGCAAAATTTGGTCTACCGATATCACATGCTGAAAATTCCATACCTGTGCCAAAAAATATGGTGTGCAATCAAGCTATAATAAAAAACTTTTCTGAATTTTTGCACCTTTGTGTTCTTGTGGGCTGACTTTAAGATGATCATCGAATGTCCACTCAGCTTGGCTCGCACTTCTGACCCACTGACTCAGAAGCAGAGAAGTACACACTTAAAAGCTGAGATTCGAATTGCAACGACTAAGCAAAGTTTACAACAGTTCACCGCAGTAACTCAGTAAAAACACCAATAATCGGTGTGAAAGAAAACAAGCCGAACATAGAAATCTAGTATACTTCTTCCGATGCACCTACCAAGTGTTTTTAAAGTCTTTTAAGTAGAACCCTAGGAATCACTTTATGTGCCTGTACATTCTCTCTTAAATGTGCTGAAAAGTGCAATAATTTGTAGAAAATACTGCTCATACTTATAAGAATTTAACGAAATCAAATTATTTCTTAACATTCCGAAATCGATATGTAAATGGATTAGGTTGTTGCCTCATGGGGTGAAATAAATAGTGTGTATCTTAATCTCTGTCGGGACTTTTAATTATTTGAATATTTGATCTGAAGCAAGTATTTCAGTTTAGTCACCAACAGTTTTGATCAAGTTTTAAGACACTTTTTAACATTTTTATTTGAAATTTGAAACTGCTGCAGTTATAGTTTTTAAAAACGTAAAGAAAAACATAGAAGGCTAATATTAACCCTACTGGAGCAGTGCATGAACTTTCTCAAGCAGCATTAGTCTTCTAATGCAGTGACAAGAGCTATCATATAATAATTATACGAATTGAAGAGAACGACTCAGGAATGTCAAAACACAACCATTTATTTCACGGTTAACTCCATCATAAATCAAAATCAGTTAGAGGACCATAAAGTGGAGGTCAGTAGACAGCTTTCACGTGTCACCTTAGAGCTCTTCAGAAAAGAGTCAAAATTTGTGGACTCCTAGGTTCTGGCTGGTCAGGTGGTGAGAGTTGTGGTTCCATAACCTGAAATCAAAACTGGGCAGCTATTTCGTTGCATCTCAGGACTCAGCAGTTGTAAACATTCACAGATCTACTGAAGGACTACACAGATAAAACAGCAATGTGGTTCACTTGTAAATCGCATGTTCTGAGTTCGAACTGCTGTAGAGCGCTGACTATGTAGAGTCAATTAACTAGAGCGTACCAGAAGTCATTGGTTTCCTAGAATGAAATGGTTCTGTAAGTGATGTTCATTTGTGCTGAAAACATGCCTAGAAATCAAACAAATCTGCATGATCTCATTAAGAATATAAGTTAAACGGACTACTGGAATGTTTGTGTCATTGCTACACACTAGCTGTTAGATTGTGCTTTAAAATATAATGAAAAGCGAAGTTTAATTACATAAATAAATATGCATTCCTACTGCAAGAATCTCACTTAAAATGCATTCATCACTGCTTTTTATGAATAACTTTGGACTGAGAAAGTTGGCATCAAATCTGACAGATCAATTTAATGAAAATTTGTTGAAAAGATAAGTAACATATATATGTCTTCGTGACTATCTTTAAAACGAGATTAGTCGTGACTATACTGATGCATGATACATTCTTATTCAAAGTTTTCAATAAACATACTAAGCAACCTCCACTTTCTAAAGTAGTCCGATTATTAACTTACCAGGAGGCGGACGGTAACGTTCGGGTTCATAAGCTCCACTGAGTTCTATTAACGATTTTGATCGTTTTTGCGGCCTTGGTAGCCTGAAGTAGAAAATTATCAGTTAGTTTTATTTGAAGAAAGCAAAAGATCAAGCGTAATCTGTCATAAAAAGTACATCATATATTACTTTTTACCATATATTTATATTTAAACGAAAGAATGTATAGATATATGTTAACATAGTCTCACCTGCTTAACTTCTTGGCCTTATTTTCTTGACCTGCCTTTTTAAGGTTTTTGTGCACTTTAGTGACATTGTCACCCAAACTTTCACCGTCTGAAATGCAAACATAAGAATTTCCTGATAGAAATAAATATTGACAATTACTTTTAATTGCTGCTTTTATAGACTGTCGATAAGAATTCGCTAACTGAGATTCTTTCACAAGTTCTAAGAAAAAATAATATTTTACACATTTCGGCTACCATTCAGAAACCTTTTAGTTTCATCACTGTATGTAACTTTCGTAACATTCCAAAACCCTCCTTGAGACATGTTTCTATCAGATATAACCTTGAGGGATATAAAGACTTAACTAAACAAAACTACCGAATATTCCAGTCATAAGATTTCCAGGCTGAATAAATTTCTGTGCAACAACTAGTAAGTAAAATGCAGTCATTTCTGACCTTTGATGGATTTTCATTTCGTTAGTGACCCAGGGTGTCTCCGATGAGTAACGTCAGAAGTGGACCTCGCAACTGTCTAACTCGTTGAAGTAGTTCATGCTGTCTTTCAGTGTCCAATATCCACAAGCTTTCACAAGCTTCTTATTTCTTCTATAAACATTCTTAATATCTAGTCAGCTTTTATATAGTTTGTTCCTCCACTAACCTGTCCTAACTCAGTTGAGTCTATGGAAGTGTTGAGGTGATTGGTTTGTAGTATGCTGTGCGTCAGCATCGCGCAGCTGCTGTGAATGGAGTTAATTCTTTCACCAGCTTGCTGATAGGTGTGGTCAAAAAAAGAGATAACGTGCATAGTGGAATAATATAGACTTAGACATAAAAAGTTAAAAATAAATGGATATATGTATACGTATGCAATAACCACTAAAGAGTGTATGAATAGGCAGAGTAATCAAAGGAGTAATACAAGGAACGTGTAGCAGGAGTGGAGCATAGGTTTAGATTATACGCAGCAATAGGGTAGAGAATGTGAGTTTCAAGGTAATAGTTCATTTGGACACAGTCAGTGTGTCGTAGTATAACTCTGCAGACTCCTCTTAAAGCCTTTCACTGATGTCTTCCGGGGACAGGAAATTCGAAGGGAGAAGTGTCGGAAGGGTACTCAAGTCTTTCCTCCCTGATATATGTATGTTTTATGCAGGACAAGAACAGGCTCATGAGAGTGAGAGAGTCTGTACACTAAGTGTATTACCACGTGTGGTCTAGCCGCATCACCCCTATAGTCCAGGCTTGTACTCTGTTTTTCTGTTAGAGGGAGACGTAGGTCCCTATCTGATGTTACACAAAGAAGGTCGAAAAAGAAGCGAATTACTCTCTGAGTCATCCGGGCACTTATCAGTACCAATTTGCACTTTTCTGAGGTTGAAATGCATGCCACTAATCTGTGTCCAGTCTCTCATCTACTATGTTTGTCAGTAACCTGTCATAGGATTCCGAAAATTTTGTCGCTCTCCGAATCTCTATGTCATTAGATTAAAGGACCGTCTACCACTGCGGTATTTCTCGTAAACATTTGCAGTATTACATAAAACTTTCGTTAAGCAACGCAGGACCCATGGTTAATGGATGGAGCTACAGTGATTTAGTCACGGAACATATTCCATGGGTTCAAAAAGGCGCCAAGCAGTACCTTGTTGTTTTCTGCCCCACGGGAGGGAGGATGATAGATGCTATCTTATAAATGCATGGTGTGGCACACAGGGAAGTGGCACCATATCGAGTCTGGGTGTTCACCAAGTGGTTGTCTGTCGCCCACACGAATCCAAGCTGCTTGTTGAAATTTAAGGCAGCTCCGCGTCCCCCTTGTGGTCCCCGTCCTGCCTCTCCAGGACCATATCACTCGTACAGACTCCAATGTCGACAGCAGTAAGGATTAACCGTGTCTCAGCCAGTTTTATTATTTCGAAATTCACGAGGGTTTAGAGGTTTCTGAGTTCCTCTGTGCGTCGGTGGCACAGTGGTTAGGACTCTCGCCGACCATGCACATGGTCCGGGGTTCGATCCCCTGCCGGCGCACACCCGATATCTATGGTCGGCCTGCAAAATTTGGTCTACCGATATCACATGCTGAAAATTCCATACTTGTACTGAAAATGCGGTGTGGAATCAAGCTGTAAATAAAAAATAAAAAAAATAAAAATAAATTTCACATTGCCGCATAGGCTACTGATAGTGAGTCTTACAATCATGCCTTGTTTGTTGGTTAACGCTAAGTGGGTTGTTATGTGGTGAGTTCATGTTCGCACTAGTTTGCCGATTTTTATGGAACCCGCCAATTATTTGCTTTACTTCGGATTCTGTTCAGATGGTTGTGTGACACTTGCTGTTGTCCTTTCCAGTGTTGTACCGTTGTCGTGTCACTAAAGCATTAGGACGCATCATTACGTCAACACTCAGTCTCCTTGAGGTCCGAAATCAATTTTTGGATCACCGAATATGTGCGTCAGTGGCACAGTGGTAGAATGCCTGTCAAAAACGTAGGCGGTTCGCCGTTCGATCCCCAGCCGACGCATTCCTTTACGTCGCTAAGCCAGTAATAAGGCTGGTAAAGGCGATGGGTTGTGCATGAAGTTAACAACCCCGTCTCGTAAAAATAAATACCACTGCTATCGAAACTTCAAGCCTCTAGCTTGAAGCCCTATGTTCCAGTGGGAACTTAAAGGAATAGAAAAAGAGAATATGTCCGCTAACCTTACAGCTTTTCTCATACCAGTGTTGGAGAACCATCGTCGGTTGCTCTACGGATTTGGATTTAATAGCTAGTAGCTATGATGAGCTAACCGAATTGATGTCAATGGGACAATGCAGTCCACAGATATAGAATGCTCCAGACTCCCCAAGGGCTATCTGAAAAGACAGCCACCCCCACCACTGTACACTCCGTGTGTGTTTTTATTCAAGGAGCGCCTATCGTGCTTGTCCATGTAGGTATAGGGCATTAGTTCCGATGGCTTCCTTGCCATTTGAGTTCCTGCCAGTGACCTGTTCCATCGTATTCGTGTGCCAGAAATTCTGTTTTCAACCAGGACTTTAAAAGGCAACAATGTGTTTCCACAATCTTTAATGGAACTTCGTTTTACAATCAGGGGGTGTTTGCCTTGTTTATGGTGCCTTAGCATCCTCGCACAGCCTACACAACTCTACAAGCTGGATGCTAAGCTCAAGCCCGACACATAAATCAGACTACTCTACTTGATCAAACAGTTCTCGTAGACTACTGATATGCTCTGACATGGTGAAACAGGATAAGACAGTTTAATCGACTAACTTCGGTCTTAGGCCCAATAACTGGCTGCTTATCTTCGTTTCTAAGATCAGCAACCATACATTTTAGCATCCTACTATAGTGTAGCACACTGCAGAGTTCATGTTTGCTTATGGATTCAGACTGGTTTTTTGCAGGATTAAAATTACTTGCTACTCGCATGAAGACATTTGTGGTGTTTGTCTGAATAGAGCCTTTATTTTTTACGGCCTATTGTATTTTCGGTTTCACAGGGTTTTCCTTCGTATCCTGGTGAGCTGGAGAACCCCTTTCTTGGCTGCCATTGGAAGTGTGTTGTTTTTGTTTTCCAGCAAACCTTTGGGTAGAAATGTATCAGGACAACAGAGCCAACAAATACAACAAAGCAACGGTTATGGGTTATTTTGTATGCACTCGTGGTGTGGCTTCGGCACTCTTTTGTTACACCTTCAGTGCGCCCATCGATGGCAAAAACTGCACGCGAAAGACGGAACTATGGACGTGGTAGTCGTCGCCTTTTCCAGAAAAAGCCCTCGAGGTCTTGATTATATGACGCCTGGGATTTTTCCTTTTAGTCCTATATAGTGCTACAGTATGGTTTAACATGAAAACATGCGCGGTTCTGTTTTTGTTGTTACGTTATCAGTATGTGTGGATATCGACTTATTAGGAAGACGTGGATTATTATTATTATTGCATCCTTTAATTCCTAGAGGAAAATAGGGCTTCAACCGGGCGTCTTCTTTGAGTTTGGTTCTCTGCTAGAGTCTTCAACTGGCTCCATGTCTGCCCACACGTCTTCATCCCCTCTTCACATGACCTCTTACAAGTCATCCTTGCACTGACGATCAACTCGCCGCTTCCCGTTCGGGTTCCACTCAAGCAATGGCTAGTCTAGTGATGTCACTTGATTGTTTCCTCAGAGTATGGCCAATCCACCTACCTCCATTTCCTCCTGCTTATTTGTTGCACAATCGGTTCCTGGTTGGTTCACTCATTGCCAGAGATCTCTGTTGCTGATCTTTCCTGCCCGGCCATCTGATCTTGAGTAGTATTGAGCAAAGACAACTGTTAATGAAGGTCTGTAGTTTCTTTGAGACGCTCTTTATGACACGCGGTGCAAGTCTCTGATGCGTATAGTAGCACTGACTGACTTCACATTGGAGTTGAAAATCCGGATATTCTTTTTGATGCTGAGAGTTGTTGACCTCCACACAGACTTGAGAGTAGTGAAAGCTTGTCTTGCTCTTCCGATTCTTGCCTTGATATCCTCGTGAGTTCTGCCTGTAGTTGAAACGATGCTTCCCAGGTAGGTAAAAGAGGTTGTTTCTTTCAGGTTCCTCCCATTTATGCTGATTGTTGTCTGTTGTTGTTGTTGCTGTTGGTGTTGCCCAGGAATCTTCATCACCTCTGTCTTCTATATGTTCACCTGAATTCCCTCCTATCTTTGATGTTTCGTATATCGTCAACTTGTTGCTTTTCATCACTTGCATATCTTCCAGTTTATGGGAAATCACATATATATCATCGGCGAAGTCCAGATTCTCCAAGTTTTTTGTGTGAGTCCATTTTATGCCTGTTTCCTCATTGCCCGCTGTTTGTCGCATTATCCAGTCTACTGCAATCAGGAAAATCATTGGCGATAGTAGGCAGCCTTGTCTTACTCCTGTCACTTGGATTAAGTGACCAGATATTTGCAACTGATGTGTGCAACGGCTTTAATGCCACTGGTAAATTAACTCTCCTAACTGAGACTCTAGTAATGACAGATTACATAATAGTCGTGAACTTTGTTAGGTGTGAGTTTCCTGCCACATTACAACTCATTGTTATGCGGGGTTAGAAAAGTGAAAGAGGTAATAACATAAGTTTTCTAATAGTAGAGAAATAAAAGGATGACAGAGTATGCAAAAAAGGTTCTCGACTTTATCTTGAACCCTCAAGTGACCCAGCTTCACAGTAATCGCGCCGCAGTCCCAAGAATCTTGTTTATTTGTTTAAGTTAGAGAGATGATGTTACAAGCGTAGCACTTGGTTCGAG